AACGATTGTGTTTGTAAGGTTAAATTAAAAACCTTGAACATAATCTTCACATAACCTCACCTAATTCACTATTTTAAAAAATGTGACAATTTTGTTCAATTCTGTACATTTTCTTTATCTTCGTAAATATCTTGCAAATAAAATTGTACCATTTTGGTTCAAATTCAATATTTTTCGTTACCTTCAGCAAAATTTATAAAAATGTTACTTAGTAATGCTTCACGATAAATGCATTTTAATGCAGATATCGCGTTAAGTTCCAACACTAATCATTCCCAAGGTGTCTCATAACCGCCGGTGTATATTTGGTCTCCACTAGGAACCGTAGCCGATCTCACCTAAGAAAATACAAACAATAATACAGATGGCTGGAAACGGTGCATCGGCCGCAACCGGTGCATCCACCCTGCTTCCTAAATCTGTCCACCTCCTGGCAGAACTTCCGGAAGCCTGTGTCACCTTCTATTTTAACCCTAGCCCTGACTATCCATTCTTCGGTATCCAGTCGAAGACGAAGACCCATTGTAACGACCATCGACCCTGACCTTATCATCCTCCATCCTCGGCGATCTCTCCTCGCTATTAATTCCCGAAGGTCTCCCACACGATATGCATTTATTTATAGCGCGACGATCGTCTATGGGGCCCGCCCTGCAGACGAGCCGTCAATGAAATATCAACGGGTTACGGTAATTAATTATCGAGATCGCCGGTGACTTCTCCGGCGGCCGGACGCGGAGGCGAGATATACGCTCCCGTAAAAATTCAAAGATGAATGGAGAAAGTAACACTTTCTCCGTTCTCCGTTCTCCTGCCGCTGAGCAATTGCGATGGCCACGGATTAATAATAGATCGAACGTGGAACATCCTGGCTAGTTCCGGATCTTAATGGCCCGAAATCCATGGTACGATATACCTGAAATTTCCTATTTAACGATTACGGCCGGTTGTACCTGGCTGGGAACGCTCGGAACAATCGAGAGGGATTTGTTATGGTCGACTTGTCGGAATATCGATTCCTCCGGCGCCTTCGAGCGCTGCTCGCCTTAAACCGTCGGACGAAACGGGCCCAATTGTCCGCGGCGATTGCTCACGATAATTAGATGCAGCCCGGCCTAAAATAGAATATTGCGCAACGAACCGGTCTCAAACCAATTACCAATTAGTTTTACGAGTATTTTCTGTGTTTTTGGAGCCTCCGGAGTGCTGGCTGTACAATTGACTAGGGTAGGTGTCCCAATTTCTGTGCCCGTCCCAATTTCTGTGCCCGTCCCAATTTCTGTGCTTGTCCCAATTGCTGTACCTCCGGATTAAAAACGTACATAAAAAGAATAGTTTTATATATAAATTGATGATTTGTATTTTTTTTTATCACGTTCGCCTATCGATATGTAAGATCTAAAGAGATATTTTTCAATTGATGGCATTGTTTATGCGTTAAAATGCATTAAATATTGTTCAATCGATACTATAGCAGTACTACGAATTTAAGTAGTATGTCTGGTCAGAAATCGGAACAAATGCTTACTGAAAATCTCCGTATAAATAAATTATTAATATGATTTACGTCGTACAAAACGTATATAATATGGTAAGAGAATTTCATTTAATAATAAGAACGATAAAAAGACACTGAGATCACGCATATTTTTGTATTTTTAAAAGATGAGGTAAAATTTTAAAACATATCCGTATGCATTACACCGTGTAATCAAACCTAACCTCACTTTGTGCAAACAATATCATGAGAAATGAAAAACAGATCAGAAACATTATTTAAAAAAGCATAGTAATTGCAGGAAATGCTTATAAGGTAGAAATAGGGGGCACAGAAGTATAGGCAGACACAAAAATAACAGGCACAGAGACATGGACAGGTACAAAATTTGGGGCGCAATCCGATTTTAATATTTTTCTGATAACAAAATTGTACAGGGTGTCTCAAAATTGTTGTACAAACGGGAAATGAAGAGTTCCCGAGGTGATTTGAAGTAACTTTTTCCTTAGCGAAAATTCAATCCGCGACTTCGTTTACGAGTTATTAACGAAAAACAGTGACCAATGAGAGGCGAGCTCGCCTAGCCCTAGGCAGCCGAGCCAATCAGCGGAACTGGGCTCCGACTGCTCGTTGGCTCGGCCGCTTCGCGCCAGCTAATCTTGCCTCTCATTGGCCCCTGTTTTTCGTCAATAACTCGTAAACGAAGCCGCGTATCGCATTTTCGCTAAGGAAAAAGTTACTCCAAATGACCTCAGGAACCCCTCATTTCTCACTTGTACAATAATTTTGAAACACTCTGTAGACTCAAAACAAATATCGTTAGAAAATGCGTCAAATAACGACGATCTGGTCGGATATCGAAATATTATACCAGAAAGAACAAATATTTTGAACAAAACGTGCAAAAGGGTACCCGAGTATCCACATAAGAGTTAACACTAGATTTACGGAATCCGTCAAAATGACAGGTAATTTACGATTATTAATTAATTTACGATTATTCACTATTATTCGTAAAGATACATTTATAAGTTATTTATTCAATTTACATGCTACTTACGGCAAGTGTTACAATAACACTTGTTAAAAATCAGAATAGATGTCTTACTGTTGCTTTTGTAAACTAATATAAAACGGCTGTTTTTTGTGGCCCGTAAATCTAGCGTTAACTGCAGCAACTCCGGCGAAGCCGAAGGCATTTTTAGACAGCGCATCAATTTCCCTAGGAAAACCGTAGAGGCTCGCTAAGCCATCGGCAGTCGTTCATCGGAACCCTCCATTATATCCGGATGCTCGTAGCTCCCCTGAAGCGTGCAGTCGGCGAGCCTAATCGCAGACGGCCATTAATTCGAGTACCTGGAAATTGTGTGAAGGATTCTCTGAGCAGGCACGGGTGACAATCGTTTCGCAAAAGGTCCGCTTAGAAAACCGAGCGGAAAGGCCAGTCGACGGAGCCGATTGATATTCGGAGGACGAGCCGAGCCATAATTCAGGGTATAATTTAGCGGGTGCCGGTGCATCGAGCGGATCACACCGTGGGCCACCGGTTTATGCAGAGGACATGCGTCAGACCTTGACAATGCCCGGTTCTTTCGACGGGCCTCATCAATATCCATAAGTTAAAGGACATCCGTCTTCGAGCGCACACGCGGAATAATTTACAGGGACCAGAGATAACCGGGACGGAAATCGCTGGCGACGCGCCACTTTGCGGACCACATCGGCAAAATTGAGGGTCTGCTTGTAGAAAATGATGCAAGCGAAAAAATTGAGGAATTTTGTTTTTTCTGCTTGAAATATTTTAGGGGAGAATGGGACACATATTGAATGGGACATTGCCATTATTTCGAAAATTAGCGATTTTTTTATAATAAAATTATACTTGTTTTGTGGTATGTATAATATAATATTTAATCACGCGTAATTTGAAGCCGCTACCAGTTAACACGTAATTATGGCAGATAATTAATGTTTTTTTCTATGTTTAAAAGTAATATTTTTCCTTTTTATCGAATATTGTTACCTTCGACTGATGTTTTGTTTATTGCATTCGGTCATTTATTTTTTCAAAAATACAGAATCATACAGAATCGAATAGTCTTTTTTTCTATTATAGTAGTTAAACAAGTTAAGGTTTTAATGTTGTTACCAAATTTTGGATGGGGCACAGTGAATGTTTATAGATGGGACGCGAATAAATGATCTGGTGGAATAAATAATAAAGAAAATTTAAAACATATTAGAGATGTTTTTGAAGATAATTTAGTTAGGGAACAGGAAAATAAAAAACGAATTTCGTCGAAAAGTCCACAAAAAAAAAAGTAAATCGCGAAGACAGTCTCACATACTGCAGAATTTAATTTTAGTATTGCAGGATTTGGATCAGATAGGAAAACTATGATCGAACGTAAGTGTAAAGCAAAAAAGGGAAGCAGTAGATGATGACGAATGTCAAATTTGTAAAAACACATATTCACAAAGCAATGAAGTCTGGTAAGATTATTTTTAAGAGATATTCTTATCCAGAAATTTTTGTTGATTTTGTCCAGTTTATTTCTATATATCACATTTTTTTTATGCGAGCAAAAATACCGAAGACATTTCAATGTGCACAATTCAATAAACACCCTATATACATTAGTAACAAAATTTTGATTTTCGTTTACGAGTTTATGCGCTTTGTCCGCACCATGGCGACGCCGGATAGCTCAACCAGAAAATGATGTAATTTTCTCTTCAAATCAGAATTTAACTGTACAATAATATTATATTGCCGAGCATTCATCTTAACACTTCATCCACCGACAGTTACTTAACAGTCTCTCTCTCTCTCTCTCTCTCTCTCTCTCTCTCTCTCTCTCTCTCTCTCTCTCTCTCTCTCTCTCTATCGGCATAAGTTAATAGCCAATTTTGAATAGCAATCGCCTTAATCGATTCCCCGATAGTTTCGACCGTTAATCAGGAATCTGAATAGAACTTTCTTCTAGGGTTGTTATTGAAAATGGCAATGGCCTCTTCTAATGAGGCATAATCGTCAAAGCTTTAATGGATTATGGTTGCTCCTTTGATGCGTCGACGCCGAGGCTCTTAACGAAGCCAATATAACGCTGAACTTTGATAAAAGTCGTAAAGATCGATCGCTTTTTATGGCCCCATGGATTTCGATGAAATTGGAAGATGTCGCGGGCAAACGCCGCAGTAAAACCTTTACTGTGTGACGCGCCCGACCATCGCACCGTTTCTACCAACGGTCATACCTTCGGCCACACCATGGCGCATCTCACCAACTCATTTTTAAGGCCACTTGTCGCAATAGCAAACCATAGAACCTAGACCAGCGGTGTCAAACTCGCATACTTGATGTCAAGTATCAGGACGTAAACAATAATATAACTTTATATATGTTTATTACAATGTACTAATGAAAATAAAAATATTTGTTTCTATGAACATTAATTTTTTTTGCGGCCCACCTAAAGTTAAGCATTGTTTATTTGGCGCAAGTTAGCTTTTGAGTTTGACACCCCTGACCTAGACTATGGCGCATATTTTTCGACTAGATTGCAACAGGATTATCGCATATACATCCAGGATAACGCAAGGATTTCAGAAGAAACTAACGCCACGTTGTACCAAGGGTCATCCTTATTGGTCCTTAACTTCCTAGAAGAGCTGACCATGTCCCGTAGACTAGGTAACTTTATACAGGGTGTTCACCATAACGGAAGCCACGTTTTTTGAGGCATTTAGACCAATCTGACAAAAAAAATGTTTCGAATAAAAGTTGATGGGAATAAAGTGCATTAGTAAAAATCGCAAAAAATTTTTGTATTCAATAAAAAATCTAAAATTACCTTGACTTTTTTAAATAGCATTATGAAAAAATGCTGATGAAAAAATGAATTCAGTGATCCACCATGCAATGACCTTCGGATGACCTCGAGCTCAGAAATTGGCAATAACTAGGAAACTAAGTTTCCTACGCGTTAATGAAACGTAAACGTAGTTCATAGTCAATGGTACTTTCGTTGTAGGCTCAGATAAAAAAGTTAAAAAACAAGAGTCCTTTTAATTTTTATTGTCACTCCAAGTAAAAGCAAAATTTGATAAAAGCATTTTGGTCATCGTCTAGTAGGCTAGTCCCGTTATCATCTGGAAAAAAAATTCAAGTCGCTTAGTTCAGTTTTAAAAAAGTTATTGCGTTTTAAAAGGTGTACGGACAATTATGTGAGTAACTGTACTTTCGAGGCATCGTATGTCTCGATCGGAAGAAGCTCGAAAAGAACAATGAATGAAACGGAATTTTCTCATGATAGAACAACGCGTCGTGAGGAACCAAATTCTGTTTTTAAAAAATGCAAGAAGAATGATTTTAAACACGATTAAAAAGAATGGTACTGTTGCGCACGGCACAAAATTAAAGCGCCGGAATTCGTGAGGAGACGACACGCGATTTATTGATTCGGACTCCACAGTCCTTTGGTTTACAATCTTTGGTGCACGGCTCCGTTTGAC